GTAGAAGAAGTCTTAGATTCAAGGCAATGCCAAAATAAATTGGAATATCTTGTCCATTGGCACGGATATGATATTAGTGAACACATATGGGAGCCAATAAAGAATCTTGTAAATGCAGCAAAGACGGTGGAGGCTTTTCATTGATGACATCCATCAAAATCAAGATGAAAACCTTCTTTATAAAAGAAATAACATCTAGGCAAGATAACATTCTACTTTCAATCCTTGTTCGTAGCTTCTTTGTAGTTGTGACGCTCAGGAGATGGAGAACCAACAATCAGCAGATTCAACTCAAGAACCTTCATTTGTTGACCTGCCAGATGAGATATTACAATTGTTACAACCTTTAAGACAACACAATTGAGATGAAGATCTTCAAGAACGACATATTCTTCCTCGAATAGATGGTGAGATACAATGCATTTGATACCACGATTTGGGAAGGGACTCCTGATGTTTGGTGATTTTGCTAGAGGTAGGAACAACTCGTGATGGTGTTCCAAATGTTCTATTCGAAGGAAGTTATGAAGGCCTCAACAATGATCAAATAACTGGGTGGTCTTTTCGCCCTAGTATGAGACACTACCGATGGTTGAGAGGCCTTATCAATCATCTTTAAAGAGGACAAAGATTAGAGTATGTGGCGAATACAATTTGTCGCATCATAGATTTCCTCAATATATGATGACCGCTCCTTGTGGAACTTGTCTCTAGAAGGGGGGATAATGTCACGGATATACTCATGTAAGCTAGTAATTACATATACAAATAGATGGAAGTAAGTAATAGTAGGTAAAAATAAATTAATTCTATAGTATTTAATATGGAAGCTTCTTGGAAGCTTCATAGATGCTCCTTTGACTTCATAGGTGTCTTTTATTGAATTTTTGGATTAGAAACGTGGACAAGAAGTTGGCCATGTGCCACACATATTGTTAGCTTGAAGATCAAGCTAACTATGTGGCCCACACGTAGAAAAACTTGCCTTGTAAGTCAAGGCATGTGTCCTACAAAGTCAACACATATTGGAGGTCTTATAGAATGTCGCCACGTAGCCCCTAGTTAGATAGTACATATAGAGACAAGAATGAAGCCTTCTTCACTCTTGTCAACTTCTTTCTTGCTTCTAGTCTAGTTTCAAGGGTCTCTAGTTTTCTTGTCTTTTGGCAATAGCTATTCCTGTTTCTCTTTCAATATACATATATGTTTATTTATATTTTGTTATCTTTCTTTGAGTAAAGGCTCACTTGTCTAGATTGTTTTTTCATCGAGTTCTTATCCTTGACAATCAATTATAAGTTATTAAAATTATAAAATATATAATGTTATAGATTTATTTTCTTATTATAAAATATAAATATTATTTATTGTAATATAAATTCTATTATTTTTTCTATATATAGATCAAAATTCTACCAAAAAGCCTATAAATTATCTAATATTAGATCATGTTATTCAAAAAAAAATAAAAATAATGATAATGTAAAATCAAAAAGTAGTGTTATAATAAACCTAACTTGTAATCTTAAATTTGGATAACTTTAGGATTGAAGTACAATTGCTAGTTGTATTTGATTGATGAATCCGTGAAATTTTAATCTTTTACTCTTCAAATTACATTAGAAGCAAGAAAGGAATTAACAAGAATGAAGAAGGCTTTATTCTTACCTCTATATATACTATTTACCTAGGAATTGTATAGCAACATTCTATAAGACCTCCAAAAACTTATTGATTTTGCATGACATGTATCTTAACTTGTAAGGCAAGTTTTTTATATGAATGTTACATAATTAGCTTGTTTTGCAAGCTATCAACATGTGTGGTATGTGGTTAGCTTATTGACCAAGTTTCTAACCTATTAATCAACTACAAATACATGTAAAGTCAAAGCAATGTCTATGAAGCTTCTAGGAAGCTTTTTTAGAAGATATTATGAAATTAATCTATTTTTTTATACTTATACCTATTCATATTATCTAGGTAAAAATTACAATAAATGTATGTCCATGACATCTATAAGACCTTTGACAAGTGTTCAACTTATAAGTTACATGTCTTGACTTGTAAGATAAGTTTTCTATATATACATCACATAGTAAGTCTATACCACAAGCTACCAATACTGGCAAGTATCTTAACTTATTAGCCAAGTTTTTAATCTATTAATTAACTATAAATACATATAAAGTCAAAAAGCATATCAATGAAGCTTCTAAAAAGCTTATCTATAAGATATTATCAAATTAATTTACTTTTTTCTACTTTTATATATTCATATTATTTAAGTAATTATTGGAATTAATATGTATATCCATGACAATATTCTATATAATGATCACAAAAGAGATAGTCAATTTTTGACTTAGCAATACACAACTTAAATTTTTATAATTTTTTTGTAGCCAACAATGTAAATTTCTACTAATTTCTTCTTATTTTTATTTTTTTTGTATTATTGAACTTGTCTTATTAAATAAATTTTATATTATTCAACTTCTTAATAATTTAACACGTAAATATTATTTTGGAAGTTTTTTTGTTTGTAGATTTTTATTGAACATATACTAAAAGAATACTAATAAAGATTGATAGGTTATTTATAATTTTTTTTTAAATATAATTTTTTATAAAATATATATATATATATATATATATATATATATAACTTATATTTTAATTATTTTATAGATGAAATTTTGTTTATTGACTTCTACCATGCTATAGACAATAAAAAATTATTATTGCCTTCGAATTTAGTGACCATAATAATGTTAAGACAATAAACAACCTTGTGAACAAAATGATTATTTTTATTTTCAAAACTTATTTTAAAAAATTATGGTTCATAATATAAATAATAAATTTTTGATTTTTATTATTTTTATAAATTAAAATATTATTTATAAAAAAAAATATCCTACTTAAAACCATTGATATAATTGCAATAAATAAAATTATTATTTTTAATCCCCATTTATAAGTATTTTCTTTCCACTAGATTTACTTGCTAAGGATAAACTTGATATTCATTTTTTAAACTTCGTAAGAAAAATGAATCATATGAAGCATCTATCAAGAAATCCATATTACAACCAACTACTACTATTCTTACAGTACATATGTAAGGTAGTTTTTTATTTTAGTTTTATTTTTATTTTTATAACTAGTGGATATAACTACTACAAAATAACAATGTCATGTTATAAACACCATATTTTTTTCTTGTTTCTATCTATAAGTTATTTTATAAAATCTTCTTTATTATCAAGAAATTAATAAAGTGGTTGAAAGAAAATAGTAGTAGTCTATATATATATATATATATATATATATATTGATTGAAATGTTAAGATATATTAAACCATGATTAAGATTTTATTAAGATACTAAAAAGAAATTCTGAAATTTTTCCACAAGACAAAAAACAAAAACGTGAGAATGTAGAACACATTCTTTTATTAATAATAAAAATATATTAGTAAGCATAACCAACATTTAAAAAAAGAAAAGAAAAAAGACCATAGTTTATTAGTATCTCCTAAAAAATCTAGAAAGTTTCTACTTGCCTCTCCTTCCACATACACACATAAAAAAATGTAGTTTGCAATAATATGGAGAAATTGGAAATCAAATATAGAATCTAAAAGAAAAGTAGAAATATCAAGCAATGACAATTTGTTTATCAAGTTTGCATGCTTCTTTTATATTTTGAATCAAAGGATGCAAATTTCCTTGTAGAAAAAAATATAAACAAAACCATTCATTGTAACCAAAAAGAAGCTCATAAATGGAGGATTTTCTATCAATATTAAAAACTAAATTTATACATATAAAAATAAAAAAAAATATTTACAAAAAATGCTTCAATGCAAGTAGTAGTCTTCATGTGTAATTTGGATTTAGGGTTTTCTTAAGAATTGAATGCTTATAAAGCTAGTTTTGAACTTGTGGAGCTCCCATATGAATCAACTGTTATTGTATAATATGTTGTCTTGCTTGAGAATGCACAAAACACTTGATTGTAGAAGGTAAATTAGAAATAGCAACAACAAAGGTCCTAACCACTCTAATAGAGTTCTAAATAAATTCTATTTAAATTTTAGCAATCCTAATCAAACCTTAATCAATTCTTAAATTATTTTAAAGAATTATTTTAAAAATCATACAAAAACCATAAAGATTTTTTTAAAGAAATTAGAAAGAAATCATATATAAATCTTAAAGAAATACGAAAAAAATAAAACTTTAAGAAACAATAAGAAAACCCCAAATAAAATTTGAAAATAAAACCCTATATGCATAACAAAGGAATTGTAAAATACTAAAATATACATTCTAAAAAAATAATAAAAAACCTAAAATACTAAAAAAAATTATAAATAAATCCTAGTATATAAAGTTTTGGATTTAAAATCATCTTGATAATGTGAATATCCATACTTACAAAATATATCCAAAGTTATTGATATTCTCCTGTGCCAGGATTTAACTCTGCCTCCACATCCAACTCATCATAGATTCACAATGTTATAAAGTTCAATACATTTTAATATTAGTTTGCAATGATCCCAAACTACCAAAGAATGATATGTTATCTGCAATTACACAAAAATAGTAAAAAAATATTTGGCACTTCGAATCCCAGCTGCAACATTACAACCATGCCTTAGAGAACCTGCCACAAGGTTTACTCAGGCTGTGTCAAAAAAGAAAAAGAAAAAAAAAAAAAAAAAAAAAAGAGAAAAAGAAAAAATAAAGAAAAGAAAAAGAAATTATCCACATTGAAAAATACATGCAATTGACCAGTTTGTTTCTTGAGGAGGTGGAACTGCACAGGGGTGTGGGGATTCGGCTTGGCTTATAACCGGCGATGAATACCACGAACTCAATACCCTGCAAACAACACCCTGTATCTAATACCCGTTTGAGGTCCGCCAGAGGTCAGAACGGGTATGGATTTCTGTCTACGCGACTCGTGTAAACTTGCCGCATTCGTCCACTTCCAAAGTCGGTTTAACAGGAAGACAGTTCGCGGGCGTTGCGATCTGTTCGCGTGAGCTCGCCAGAATCTATTGCATCGCCAGTGACAGCGCAAACATTGTCCCTCAATCCTTCCGCTGCCCCTCGGGCTACGAGCTTCGTCATAATGCAGCATGGAATCCCTGCTCACATTGTTGAAAGTGCCCGCTGCGTACGTTTTTCGCCCGCTTGGTTAGGATTTCTCTTCAATCTAAGACTTGAAAAATTAGGGTTTATGGTGTGTCGAGGAAAATCTGAATCTGCGTTTTCTGTCTCATAATGATGTGGATTTGATCGTATGAGTTATAGAGGGGGTTTACTTTTAAAAAATTTTGCAGTTGTTTCGGGAATGCTTGCGACGGGCAGATTACATAGGAGCTCAGGTGGGATTTATTTTCTGGACTTTGCAGTTGCCTTTGCCTCATCCGTTTGGTGCTGGGTTTATGATCAGTAGGGTAGGGTTAGCTTGCCTGGTGTACCAACCCGGTGATGGTGAATGATGTAATTTTTGGGCGCCATCGTCGACTTTCCTGTAGAGTCTACGTTTAACCGAGGAGTGGTGATATTTATCTTTGTTTCTAACTGTATCTCTAATGTGGTGGTTTGTAACATTTTTCTTCCGATTCAAGGCCTCATTTTATCTCGAAATTCGGGAATACTTGTTGCTGCGTTATTTGCCTTTTGTAGCCCCTATCACCTTGTGCTTACCTCAAGTGTGTGTGAGCAGCACGGAAACAGAGAGGTATTGAAATCCCTTGTGCGGGAACAATTCAGAAGAAATATGCACGAGACCGATCCTGAGAAAATCGAAGAGCAGAAACAAGCGTAAGTTCACTTGTCATTCAAAATCTTTGCACCATCTTTGCTGCATACATGTACTTTGGATCGGTTGGTGGACCTAGTTATGAAACATCATATTGAATATATCTTGATATTCTGCAGGGCTGCACGAGCATTGTTCAACCACATGTATTATGAAGCAGGTCGTATGGCTGCAGAGCAAGCCGAGAATGAGCTAATAAAGGAATCGCTGCTGGGGTTGCCAAAACCAGCTCTTGAAATGACTTTACAGGACGAGGATAATAAAGCCTCTAGTTAAATGCAGAGGCGCTCAATCTTGGGTGTCTTTCTCAACAATGATCCTCTGGTTTTGAGCTGTGAAGGCAGCTTGCGGTTTGTGATTGCACGCTGCGTTTTACGAATTGGTTCCCGACTAATAATCTTCTGTTACCTCTAGTTTTCATTGGTCTACAGCAATCACTTTAGCTGGCTCTTTGGAGATCGAACTAACTGTGGCGCTGTCCACCTAGTTCAAAGTGTACATTGTTAGTGTCAGCATAACATTGAGCTTCTATTGAGCATCTGAGTGACTGACAATCAGTTCAACGAGCCAGTATTTTCCCGTGTGAAAAGTTCATGAAATTACTTGGGCTATCATTTAGACATGGATATATCTTATTATGGAATGAAGCCCGATATAGTGGCTCCATTGGTTCTGTTCGATTGCTTGGTATGCTCAGGTTTCTGTGTCGTGAATTTGCAATTCACCTCTTGTCTTAGTCTCATTGACATCACAAGTTGAACATTTTGCCCATGACTTCATTTGACTGGTTGGAAACGAACAATAGTTTTCGTGATATTCAGTTGTCTCTCTTCGTTAAATATAGCTCTTATTTTTCTGCTTGCTGGATCCTGTGTTCTATTACCGCTTGACATCAAATTACTGCCAGATTTTGATCTTTTCTGTCTCTCTGTCGCGGCTGCTTGGTCGATTTGGACGATGCACACCAAGTTGTGTTAAGATTGTTCTTCACGATTAGTGCTTTGAATCTGTGGTATTGTAATTTAAGCCCAGAGAGCTATCTGAGTTTCAACTACTTAGCGTTTTAGTGCTCAGAGCTTCCGCTGTGCCTTTGTGCTGGTGAGGGTTCGCTCAAACATGTTGGATAGTTTTTTGCCTGAAACCTTTTGGATAGTAAGTTATTGCGGAAAAAGGTGTTTTTCTTTTTTGAAGACATAGACGGTTTCCACCTAGATCAAGGTGCGAGTAAATGGCGACGAGTTGTCAACAGATTCTATGCAGATCTAAGGGACCCATTATTGTAAATTGTTGGCAAGAAGTCGGTCAATAGAATTGAAGGCAACTTAGTCTTGGAGATCGAAGGGTACTGGGCAAGATCAATGCAAGTAACAAAACCTATCATGAAACACATCTTCTTCACGCATGAGCCAATCCTTTTGCAGATTTATTAACTTTAATTTTCCTGTGAGGCCGTTTCTCGGCCAGCCGAAACCCCAACGAGACTAGGAGTGCAGCTGCTCCTTCTGGTTTTTTCTCCGGTATTTTCTGCTCACGAAGACACTTGAAGCCTCTCACGGTCTCTCAGATTAGATGTGATGTGATGTCTCTTAGATTTCTTCCTTGGCGTTAATTCACAACCAACTAGCGGCTCATAGAACCGGTCGAATTTCGGATCAATCGATGCTACTTTCGACATGCTAACACACAAGAAACGTGCATGATTAAACAGTTCTAAGAGCCCTGATGGATTCTGCGGTGTTGGATAACGATTCACCTAATTCTACCACGAACCTCAACTTCAAAGAATACAAACAACTTCTCCAAGACGCCCTGTACTTAACATGTAACCCTCGATTAAAGGAGGCTTAAGGTGACACACTTCAGCAGTTTCTAGAAATTCATTCTCACATTAACTCAAATTTTTTTAGAAACTGGTTTTCACACGCCGTGTATTCAAAAATCATGGTTTTCGAATCGAGGTTTTCTAATTGATCAGATTAGACACAGCTCAATCTGACTCTTGTTTACGTTCAAGGCTTGACATATAAATCGATGTGGGTCTCTGCACACAAACCAATTTTCTACATAGAAGGTAGAGAATCTGCCAAGTCCAAAATTTGATCTTGTGCGATTATGTAGAATATACATAATTGCAGTCGGAACGAAAGGATAATTGATCTTGTCAGAAACAGAGGACTATGGAGTAGGCTTGAAACAGAGTTCGTTCAGCTCATGAACGACGACTCAGGACTGGTTGGATCTACAACAGGGATTGATATCATTTCGCCGAGAATCTCATCGAGGCGAAAACTCCGAAAGCCATGGCATTAATTCCCATCATATGGGAAGTGGGGAGGGGGCCAACCGTGCACACACACGGCCTAGCACACATGTGCCCATGAATAGCAGCCGTGAATGCACTATTCCCTGAATCAAAATATTCCCCTCTTCTGGACTAATCTGATCTAATCTCGTTACCAACCTCCGGGCTCCGCCGTCGGAACTATAAAGAGCATCTTCAGTCTTCTACCTCTAGCAGTCGGAGTCAGTTCTAACCCGTAGGCCCTGCCTTGAGTTATAGTGCAACCCCCGGCTGGAACTCTTGCATCATTCTGCAGGAACGCCATGCCGCTGGTGGTGTCCGATCTGTGACCCTTAGTTGTGTCTTGGGTACTTGGATGAAGCCTTGTTGGAGTTGGGAATTGGTGCCCTTTGGCGCTGGATCGGTGTTGTAGGGTTTTCATCTACCAACATCCTGGCTGGTTTTTCGTTGTGAGATATTAGTTTTCCAGATCTGTGTCACTGCCCGTATTAGCAATCGTGTGTGGTATGGCTTCAGAATTGTTTCACGCTTACGGGTGGAGCATTGGTTTCTGAATTGGAAGTGAGAAACGTAGTGGTTCTAACCTTTAAATTGTGACCTTAGCGTTACACATCACGGATCTTTGCCTCCGTTGCGTTATCGCTCCTGATTTCGTGGGCATTCCGGTTACTGGTGATAAAACTCATTCACACTAGCCAGGTAGTGTTAGAGTAGCAGCATCTGTTGAGGAAGACAATTTCAATGTTGTTCTAAATCATTCCACTCAGGTGACTTCAGCGGTTTTGGTGTTACGGTTCTTAGCAGTTAGCTTTTCAGTTACCTTGGAGGTTGCGCTACGAAGCAGCCCAGGCACTTGAATCTCTCACTTCCGATCTCGTTGATCTACGTGATATTTTCACGTAAGTCACGTGAAATTATACATTAGGTTGTAGTGGTGTTCGCAGTTAGCGATTGTTCACGTAAGCGATTTTCGGGATCGTTTTAGCACTTCCAACCATGACGACAATGATTGCCGCCGCTAGGATGATATCCTGGGGATTCATGGGACAGGGTGCAAGACGAAGATGGTGCCGAGGTGATCTTCCTGATTTGGATGCATTTTCTAAGCCTTGTCGTCCAGTGATGCAGGCGCCATTGTCAAGGAGGTCACTCAGTTTGATATGCTCGCTTTCATCGGAGCGGCCGCCTCGAAGCGTCATTCCCAAGGATGCGACCAAGAAGGGCAAGAGATCCGATTTAGCCTGCCGCAGCAGTCTGCATGACGTTAGGGAATTTGAGGTTTCGGAGCGACATGTTTTGGGAGCTGCGAGGCGTTCAAGTCAACGATCAAATGCCACGACATTTCAGGGGTTTTTCGAGGCCGACGCTGCAAGCGGTAGAGTCGAATGCACTAGTCGAGGATGCCGGCCAATTTACGAGGATTCCTTGCAGCTTGATGAAAACGTGAGATGGTCAGCACCTAAATCCAGACCTGCCACCCACGAATTCAGCACGATCCCACCTCACCTCCTTTCTGATTTCTTTACCGTGGACATCACCAACGAATTGAAGGAGGCCTTCGAGGCGGCGCTTCAAGAGGCACCGTGCAATGCACAGCTGCTTTCTGAGTTTGCAGGCTTCACGTGGGAAGCGATGAGAGATCCTGATGCAGCCGACAGACTGTATAACCAGGCCCTCGATGTATCGCCAGATGATCCTGACCTTCTTGCAAGCCATGCCCTGTTTCTATGGCGAAGTGATCAGTAAGTGATGCGCCCGATTGGTGGGTGCGACCACCATTTTCTGTACCTAGATAGAGTTCGACTGATTATATTTCGTGCACACCCGGCAAGGCATTTCGTAGTCTTGTACAGCGAGTGTTTGAACCACCACTACATACGATCTGTTGAAAACACTAATACTGTTTAAATCAATTCTCGGCTAGAACTGCAACACGGCCTTACGTTCCATAGACTGTCTCCTACCATGACTAGGTCCAATTCCTCTGTGTTGCTCAGTTGAGAGAAAGTGATGTTTGTTCGGGATCATGCATGATCAGTCGTCCTGGTCCCAATGACTGTTATTAGCCTAGAGTTACTCGTATCCCGCATTGTCGCACTGAAATCTGTGAATTCAGGGATCTTAAATTCACAACTGTGGTAAACACCGCCCTCAAACCTCCTTCAAGCCATAGTTCAGAATGTGGGGCAGGCACCAGACTGGAAAGAGCTGGTGCATGTCCATCTTTAGATGAGCGTCACATGAGCAGAAAATTGCTCTTTTCCGTTTTCCAAAGATTTTCTTCAGCTGCATGGAAGTTGTGTGCCTCCACTGACATGGTCAGGAGCGTCAGTTGTCCACAACGCAGATCCGCTGCCCTCCCATCCCTTTATCGGAACAGCACAGGAACAGCACAGCAACCTCACCGTAGCTGTCTATTCAAGATGGGGACAAGCTTTGTATGATGTTCAACCTCGAATCGACCGACTTGGGCACTCAGTAAACAAGCACATAATTCATTTGGCGCGAGAACCTGTAAACTCTCAATGAAAGTTTACAGAAACTCACTGGATTAACTCCCGTGTGCTTAAAATTTATCCTACTCATACTACTACATGTTTACTTCCAGCTGTGGTTGTAATCAGTCAATCTTATAACAGTACCAACTTTTCAATCCAGCTTGTTTGTTGTGATTACATCACGATGAATCCGTTAAGGTCTATTCGAAGGACAAGAACGGTGGCACCGGAATTCACTCGCCGTGGAAATGTGCACACGGTAACGCCGTTAAATTTATATCCAGATGTTTACTTTTAATACGCTGGGCATGTACCATGTGTTGAGGTATGCATTTGTTGAATTTTGGCCAAGCGCGTGATTTGGGCTGTCGACGTCGGCCTCGACGTCGCATCCATAATGTAATCAGGTGAGTTCTAAATTTACCTCGTCCATCTCGACCGATGCGCAGGACAGTGTAAGTGCAACGAACAAGCGGGCATCGCGAACAATTATTGACCTGCTGTGCGTGGTTATTGCGTTGCTGGCCAATTCAACCAATTTTAGATCACTTTCAGCGTTACGGTGCCACCGTTTCTGGACAACCCTGCTGAATCGGAGTTCCATCGTGTTACGCATTGCTAATTTACAGTACCACCCTAATCTCAATGCAATGCAAGCGACTTCTTAGCGATGTTTTTCTATAATGAATCCGTTATCAAGATATGTAACTTGTGCATTGAATGTGGACGCAACGGACTCGACGTACTGCATCTTTCGACGCGAGAGTGCCGATGGATCTAGACGAGCACCCAGTGTTGACGAACAGAACACGCTTGAAGTTGCATGCGGCTGTATCATTTTGAGAATTGTGTGCATCTCCTTTTTTCTTTTCTTCTTTTTTTTTTTTTATTTTATTTTTTTCTATTATTTTCTTTTTTGTCTTTGAACATCAGAGTGTGATGATCTCCGTGCCAGCATCCATCTATCAAGGTTAGGGATTGGTTTGACAAGAGAGACAGCATGCAGGAGAAGATGAATAGAGAGGGAAATTAAAAGAGAAGAAAAAAAATAAAAAGACAAAAAGAATATACCAAATTCCTGAAAAATGCCCAGCTCTTGTGAATGCTTCTCGGGTGGTATACATCAAGAGCATCCTCAAAAGCATCCAACATGAGAATATTAAGTTGCGATTGTTGTTCCCACGTAAACGTTTCGAAGTTTGTCCGCGTTTCCGTACTCATTACGGAACTCAACTCGGAAGGTCCGACAAAATTTCCCTCTGTCTGCAATTTCTTTCCAGAAAGGTGCGACGCGCTCTGAAACTTCCCTATGTTGAACAACACCGATAATCTTTCTTTAGGATTGCGTTAGGGTTCGATTCCAGGGGTTCGCGACGGTGCTGCTGATGCTGGAGAGGGACTGTCAATTTTTTTATTTTTTTATTTTTTTATTTTTTTCTTTTCCTGGAAGTGAGGGATTTTATGTATCCAAGTGCACTTGGAGGTCGCGGGTCAGTTTCGAAATCGCTATGTGAGGGAGCACAAGGCAGAACCTCTTATGGCGTGATTTTCACACTCAGAGCAAGGATTTCGTGGGCAATGCTGCCCTAGTGGTTTGCCGGAAGATGAGTGGCATACACCAGCTCAGAAAACGTCTCATCAACGACCTCGTCCCCCGAGTTTCTCAGAGTATGTGTTCGACTTGGCAAGATAAGTACACACAAACCTTGCGTTTATGTTGCTTTAAAACAATCGTGCAGCCAAACCCTAAACCCTAAACCTTCCAGATGCACGCAATTCATTTATTCTGCGTTCAAAACAGAGGCGATGCTTATCAGCTGAGACAGTCACATGTCAAACTAGACCGATGAGACCATTATATTTGTATAAAGTTAAAATCTATATTTTTTTAGCTCATTACGTGGGACATCTGGGAAGTCGCTTTGGCCGAGTGGTTAAGGCGTGTGCCTGCTAAGTACATGGGGTTTCCCCGCAAGAGTTCGAATCTCTTAGGCGACGATCGAGGGAAATTTGAGACGCGGCTGTTCCCCTAATGTTTTTAATCTTAATACTTTTTCACGATGAAGATTTCTGAGGTGAACAAAATCTTACTTTTTATACAGTTTTGCATTTCATTCAATGTGGTCACGACTGATCCTGTACCTTTGCGTTTCTCGAAAGAAGGAATCCCGAGATGAACAAACGTTTACTTTTAATTCGTTTTTGAAATTCATTTCTTTTTATGTGTGGTCATTGTAGTTCATACTTTCGGGGCAGATAATAATATGTTAGTTTGTTCAATTTCCCTGTTGTAATCATTATGTTGATACATCTTTAAAAGTGAATACTAGTTTTTAGTACCATTTGAATACCATTTTTTTTTATTTATTTTTGTGCCCCTTCAAACTATATTAATCTATATAAATTTTGCCTCAGTTCTTGCTATTAGGGGTAAAATCACACAAAAGCACAAATAAGAGCACTCATCACAAACATATTCACACTAGACATACACCACCACATACATGTATGTGTGTATAATATGTGTGTAAATAAACATCTAATGCAAGAGTGTACATATATATATATATATATATATGTGTGTGTGTGTGTGTGTGGATAAATAAATAAATATTCAACAGTGATACCAACAGAATCGTCTAGATGGTGCGTAGGCGATGATGTCTATATCCCGATCCAATTCATTTCATAATAAGACAAGATGTAATATGTGTAAGACTAGTGTTGTTACATCTAGTCATACGTAATATCACGGTGCGATCAGATTAGACACATATGACAACACGATGCAATCAGACTGGACAAACATGTAATACACATATAATACACACATATACACACACTTGAGATACACAATAACAAAGTGTAATCAGACTGGACAAACATGTAATACACATATAATACAAACATAATACACACATATACACACACTTGAGATACACAATAACACGGTGTAATCGGACTGGTCAAACGTAACAACACAAAGGAATCAGGATTGACATGTATACAATAACAATGGAATCAGACTGGATATATATAATACCACAGTGGCATCAGACTGCGTCGACATTGTATAAAAAGAAAGGCATACTATAACCCCGTATCAATGTGTTGCGGAGGATCTGCAGTCGATGCACCGATCATCAGTTATCGCCTCCGATCACCTGCTGACCATCTCTACCCGTTGTCAATGATCCTATGAGTCCAGTATCTCTCAATCGTGTTCCACCATTTGCCAATCATCGCCGAGCATCCTGGAACCCATTTGCTGAGCTCTTCTTCAAGTTCCATGTTTCACTAGCTTCTCCCAGTTGTTCGCTTCTTAGTCTCGTGAGAATCAGCTAGATGGGTTCGACGTGCAGTAGACGATGCACTCGGAGGTCCTCTCGCAGTGAGTGTGCATGGTGGTGGGCAGTTAACTCTTGATAAGTGGCTTTCAATTAGTTCAGTGCAACGGCCAGTTTCCCAGTGTATGGAGGATTGTGCATCCGGACCAGTCTTTGATTCCGGTGGTGGTGGTTACTGAACTATTGCGGGGCTTGAGCTTTTTGTGCGTGATCTAGTGTCATGTGTGGGTCGTAGCACGTGATCGTCATTTAGGTTCCTCGGTGAAGTTTCAATATAAACCGGCCAGTAACTCTCAATGAAGAATTCCTTCACCTTTTGTCCGGCTTGCTATCTGAACTTTGCAATTGCTATCTATGTGTTTTCAATATGTTTCTAGCAGAGGTGTAATAGATTTGAAGCCACCGGAAGACGAAACGGTGTGTTTGAGCATTGGTAGAGCATATGGGCCGATGCAGCAAAATAGTACATCTAGATGTCAGATACAATACACCAGCACAAGTTGCTACTGAAGAAAAGATGGGGTTAGAGTCCACTTGTGATCACAGGAACATATATTTGAGCAGAAGAAACTGGACGTCTAATGAAGATTTATCGAAGAAAGATTCAGCATACTAACTTAGTGGAAATGTAGTGAGCAAGCGGTTGCCACCGACAAGTGATATAGTCACAAGAAAGGAAGGACTCAACATGGGGCAACCTGAGGAAGCTGTTGCTACCAGAACGAATCAGTGCAGGAAACGTACAGCAAAGAGCATGCACGGCCTAGTTTTCGAGAAGGTCCACGAGGAGCGATTCCGGAAGCCCTTCTTTGACAGCTCAGAGTTTCACTTCTGATCCTTCTGGAGAACAGGGATTGCGCAATTCATAACCAGTCTTCTCTTCCTCTACATTCTCATCCAGACTCTAATTAGTCATGAGCTATCCGAAGACTCTTGCCTCGGAGTTTGCATCCGAGGCATCGCTTGCTCTGTCGGGGGAACGTTTTGTAGACTTGTCTACCGCACCCATAATATCTCAGGTGAAACCAGACTTTCTTCAGGATAAATTTCCATCGTTTGGGAATATTTGTGTGTCGATATACCACTAGAAGTTGTAAGCGTTGTCACCACGTACATTGATGTACTCAAGGAGGCTGCTCCTTCGCAGGAAACACGAATCCTGCAGTGACGTTTAGGGCCTTCCCTGGCATGGGAATTGTCGATCAATCGTGCAGCGCAATGACTGGGTCGACCTCGTCAGCTGCAGGCTCACACATAACTACGTCGGCTGAAAACTTGGTTGGGTCAGTCTTTGAGTTAGGATTATAGGCAATAGCTCTCAAAATCATTCGCAGAAGACGTTCATTATCATCCACGTTCTGAGGGCAATCTGACCTCATTGAGATTGATTGAGTGTGCCTTGAGATGGGATCTTCTGGATCAGCCATTTTTGCCACCAATTGGTCATCCCCGCCTTGTCTTTCAAGGAACAGGAATATAAGTATAAGGTGAAACTTGCTTCAACCATCCACAACACATTGTTCTGTTCTTCGATTAGCGATCATAAAAAACCTTGTGCATGCCCTGCACTCGGACAGAGAGCACTGATTCGAAGAAATCACCAATATTGTAGTCGCTGTCCTATCGATGTCTGTCGATCAGAGCCGCATTCCGATGGTGTCAACGTGGCCATGGCAATCAAGGTGCATGAGGCCACCTCGCTATAGCCACAAATTTCCTCCGTGTTTTCAACCGCGGTATGAAGCGTAGTGAATCTAGCTACCACAAACTCAACGTGTCAGCAGTGCATTTCGACAAATGATCTTCTTGGATCTCTGAATGCACTCAATCTGCGTTTTGTGGTTACACTCATTCAATCAACGAATTAAATTCCTCTCTCTCTCTCTCTCTCTCTCTATATATATATATATATATATTCCTCCAACCAGGGGAGTTTATTGTTTTGCAAATTAGTGGATTACTTCTCGCTACATGAACCTGAGTGCTGATGATAGAAACGCACAAGTTCGTGAAGATGTATTGATCTTCGGTGATGGATTTCAGACTCATGCTCCTGCTTGTGGAGGATTTTTCTACTAAAAGACCCAGCATGACTTGTTTGCAAGTGGCTGCGTGAAGAGTGGCCTGATCCCAACCTCGATTCCGAATCAGGTAATACTGGTGCGCTTGGATATAAGACAATCTTCAAACTTGGCAGATTGCACATTAACACCCTCGACCTCTTTTTCTTGGCACTCTACGCAGGCTTGCATAGCTTTCGATAAGGCTAAGGTCGAGGTGCTTTGTGTTCTGGGCTAGCCTTAGTTTGATTGCTCCGTTCGAGAGATTGATGGACGCTCTTGGTGGCCCATCAACCGATGCGGTGCTCGTCTTTGTCGACTTGGACCAGTTCACAATTAATGGGGATGAACAGTTTTTCTACGCAAGCATTATGAAGGATGCGGTGCTAAACCTCAGTCAAAAACGTTTGACAAGCAAATCACGTTTCTAGTACTTCGTGTGCGAGGAGTTCACAATATGTGGTCCTTTGCGGACGGTAGGACATTCAATAGAAAATGCCGTTGGAGTGGGTACCAAGCATAGTTGAAGCAGCATGCCTGCGATCTTCTCTTGTAATCAGCAATTAGCGTTTATTTGGAAAAGCTTTGGTAGCCATACTTTGAATCTTTCTAGACCTTATCAATATCGACAATGTCCTTCACAGAGTTTGTTACTTTTCCAATTCTCCCTTTCCTTTTGATCGGTCAAAGGAAGCAGGAAAGGTAGTCTGACTAACCAATATGAGGTCCACCATTTGACGAGTGCCAGTAAAGTGTCACGCTGTTTGCAAAGATGTGCCCATGAGAGGAGATTGCGCCACGCCGGAGTACGAGCAGCTTTGATTTACTGAAGGTCCCCTTGGAAGGGCTTTACATCGAATTAGATCTTGAATTCTGGCTTGTCACCCATAATCTCCACTTACAAACTGTCAATTAAGTGCATGGCAAATGTTCATGACAAAACGCTTGTGCCACAGTGTTGAACGATAATTTGGAAAAGACTACAGGTTCTGCTCATGGAAGGGTCCCTAAACACAAGGTCGTGGTGCAAAGTTGACGTGTGTTGACCTTTATTCCTACAGCGCAAGGGATATGGCACCATCACCTCATCCAATTCGAGGCATACCCACTGCGAGCTTGCCACATAAAAACTATGGTGGCCCTCACATGGTCATCACCAGTTGACCGCAGTCTGTTCGGTCCAAATTGCAGGTCAACTGCATCCAGCACTTCGGTGCGCTCTTCGACACTCATATTCTGAGTCAAGGGGGCGAGGGTTCTGCAACACTGGATTGTGTGCTGTGAGACGAAGCTTGTGTTTGTGTGCATGCTCTCAGTCATAACCACAACTGGGTTTTCCACTGCTAGCCACAACATGGGTTCATAGCAGAGGTTTTCATTGGCAGTCATGAAAATTAATTTACACACAATCCAGTCTCGTGTTGTGTCAAGATTTATCACGCTGTATGTTGGGTTTGTAGAATCGCAAGGGAGGTCGTTAAGAGTATGTGGCGGGTGTTGAGATGAAGCAAGAAAGGTTCAAGCCTTTTACTGTGATACTCTTCATTGAAAAGCTAAATGTAGAGGGAGAAGGAAGAATCCAGAGATGGAGAGAAGCAGACGGAAGGGTTGAAATTTTTCTTACCCAGTAGAACGCTTCTTACGCACTGGAAGAGTCGTCGATAGCTTCTATTCTCAGGAATTAATTGTCCTGAGCGGATAGTTGGAAATTTTCACAAGAGCTCTTGTGGGTTTGACGTGGAAGTGGATAGTGTGTCATACAACGCCCAATTTGTTGTCAGTAGCTTTCCGAAATCTAGATAGCCTCTTGGACATTAAAATTTCTTCTAAATGCGACGATACAGGTGTTCCTTGGCTTGAATTTGACGGCGTTGTGCGGTGTAGTTCATAAAATGTATTCGTCACCTATAGATCACTACTACCCGGGGTCCACGAGCACGTACTCACCCGACGGTAACCCAGCGAGGATGGCCACCCTCAGCAGCGAAGACGAAGACAAGTATGTGGTCACCAGCAAGATCATGGTGGCTGCTCTCGTGGTTCTCTTCATCGTCGTTCTCTTCGTAATTTCCCTACACATGTATGCCAAATGGGTTTGGAGTACCACCTCCGAAGGCCGCCGGGGCAGAGGTCCAGCACCCTACTTCTCGTTCTGGCCAAGGAGGCGTAGCAGCCTCAGCAACGAACAAGTTGTGGCTCATGGTGACGTACTGGAAATCAATATTGGAGCAGGGCTGGACAAGTCGGCGTTGGAAGCTCTTCCGACATTCAGGTACAAGATTGGAATTGAACACTTGGAATCGAACCCAACCAGTTTTTTGGAGTGCGCCATCTGCCTGAGGAATTTCGAGGAGGATGACCTGGGCCGCAGCTTGCCCGGGTGTGGCCATAGCTTTCACCTCGAGTGCATCGACATGTGGTTGTACTCGCACTCGACATGTCCCCTATGTAGAGCAATTTTAGAACCCCAGAAGGAAGTAGAGCCACAACCCGTGGATTCCGCCACGACAGTAATTCAAGTGTCTCATTCGGAATTCGTGGATACTTCGAGAGGATTGCGCGGTAGGGAATCACCTGACCAAAGCGTTTCCACGCAAAGCGTTCGAGGCGACCAGATGGATGAGCACACAAGAGCGGAGCAATTGCCTGAACTCTCGCAAACTGCGCAACCATTGCAAGGAGTGCAAGAACATGAAAGAGATAAAAGAACAGATTCAATTCCTTCCAACATTTTGTTTTGGGGGAACAACACGCAGCAATTGAACGAGGATTCCAGATTCGACGCGGCAGTCAACACGAACTCCGTTCAACCGCCATTACAAATTGCAATTGACATCGACAGGGCTCGTGCGATATATCAACATGTCCGTGCGGAGCACCACCCTTCAAGTTCCGATATGTCAAATTCTTCTCCTCCGACACCTTCATTCTCCGACGTCCTCGCTTCGCCAATATCACGCACTGCCGCAAGTTTCCGCCGCCTCCTGAGTCGAGGCGGGCAGCTTCCATCATCAACTGCAGCAACAGCAATAACGGAGCGCGTACATGAAAATTCAGCCAGACTTTCTTCATAGCCAGCAACATCAGCACATCATGCGACTCCCATCCAAGGTTGTTTCGAGGTTGTTCAAGTATGAAACCCATCTCAATGTTGACTGTACTCGTATCAAACGTGTACAATTATGCCATAGCCTGTAACCGTAATTTAGTCAAAAAGAGACCCTTAGACAACCCGCAAGTTAAAAACTACTAATAACCAGCCTCAATCACGGCAACAACACAATTACGGCGCCTATTTGGTTGGACAAGATACCTCTGTTGGCAAAACGACTCTTCCGGCGCACACGCAGTGACCTACATCTTCATAGCAGTATTCACTATGTGTACGAAATGTAAATGTGGGACAACCTGGTACACACATTTTTATTGTATCATAGTACTTCTGATAATTCGATTGAAGTTTTAACTCTCAAGCACCTGGGGCTCATTGAGCATACAATGAGTATTTTTGTTCGAATAATCAACCAATTCCATGTTCTGTGCGGATCATCCACCACCATTCACAACTTTGGCTTCGCTTGTGGGTGCACATGTAGCACTGTCAAGTTTATAGAAAAGTACAAAAATAGAAACTTTATTAAGTCGTAGTTTACAAGAACAAGGCAGGAGAACTGTAAAATCCATTGCATCTAAAACCCTAACAATCCAACGTGTTGTCAAGCTCCCACTTGGATAAATGACTTGTATATGACCGCCATTGTTGCCTTTGAACGAAAAGGTAGCTGTCGATGAAGTCGTTGCCCAGAGCCTACACTCATGAGTCACAACAATGCAATTAAAAACGTTGAATCATTGCTAGGGTCCTATTCGTAAATTCGAAATTTGGAAGAATTCTTAAAAAAAATTGCACTAGGATCGAAAGAGCGCACCCCTCTAAAGACTGCAGAATTATCAAGATTCTGAAGGGCTTCCAGCAGCGTTGATGGCAGAGTGGGGAGCGCCTAAAGATTTGACAATGGTAGGAAATGATGAGTGGTGAAAATCGATAACAAACTGCAGGATACTCCTACGGTTAAAAAAAACATTCGATGTACAAGAGATCAAAACTCACGACGACGTCGGTGCTTACAGGAATATTAGGAGGAGGAAAAAAGCCATTCCAATCACACCGCGGTGGTATTGGCAGATTCTCCCGAATGCCATGGAGACCACTCGCTGCACAGACAAATATAACGCTGAAAATGAGGTTCGAAATCCAAAATTATGGACAATTCTTAAGATATGCCACCATTGAAGGTACTTACCAAGTATCGCAGCTTGCAAGAGGTACGGATTAACAGCTCCGTCTGCAAGCCTCAACTCAAACCTCCCCCCGTCTGGAATCCTGCCATTTATATCATGATGAAGAATTGGAAGTTGCATGATGATGGTTTTTACTTTTCTATCCATTCCAAATAGGAATTCCTCATCACAAGACATAGAAAATGACATGGATCCCAATTATGTTTTACAAAGCAGAAATAGGTCAGGATTCATTCAGAACTTCATGCTGCTCGAAGCCTAGAGCGACCTAAGTCTTAAGCTGGAATTGAGTACAAGAATAGCATATAAACCTCAATAGATGAGTGCGGTTGTTGCCAGTGTAGGAAACAGTGAAAGGAGCCCACGGTGTTCCTGACGTAGTGGGTCGCCCATCGATTCGCTTGTAGCTGTTCACGGTTGGGTTCAGCAGTGCCACTAATGCCTGCGGACGTAATGCCCTCTCTTGTATGTAGTTGATAGCCGTCATTAAAAACTTGCATTATTTAACATTAACAAACGACGGTCGAAACGCAAGTAGTTGTATAGCTAAATCGACGAAATAACGTGACCTATCTCACCTTGGAGATGAAATTGAGATAGACCAAGAATAATGGATTATTTTCTAGAATTAACAAAACCGCTTGTCCCACAACCCAAGCTCTGTGACAACAAGATCAACCACTTCTAGCATACCACTTCACAGGAGAAAATAAACCCTATCATAGTTTCGTAATAATACCTGCGCATTATGTAAAATGCCGGCCATGAACTGGTCCCCCAAGACCGACAATCCCTGCAAGGAAAGAAACTTTAAATTGCTGAAAAAGCACATTGCTTGGCTTTTGACATAGCCTCGAAAATTGATTTTGCGAAATGGTTAATCCTTGTTCTTAACTGCTGACCTCTGTGAGATTTGTCATTAATCTACAAGTTTGTGACGTATTTTCACAGTTCCGAGCAGAAATAAAGCAGAGTCAATGACGAAATTAGTCATTGATGGTTCGAACCAATGCTTGATTTGAGTGATCATTGTTGTTGTCCGTGGTGGTACTCGGAGATAATGGAGCATCGAAGAGGTTGGTGCTACAGGGGCTGTTGACGTCTTTCCATACAGATACATGACAGTGCGCGCCGTTTCCAGTTTTGTCTACAAAAGGCTTGGGCATGAACGTCGCTCGAAACCCTGAGTCCATGAATGAACCACATCTGAAATGCGCTGGAAAAAATTAAAAAGCAAGAGCGGTATCTAGTCGATAACATTGTCTGACACTTCGGCTCATTCTTGAAACTATTAATGATTTGTCAATATATCGCTCACCATGCTTCTCGGCCACAGTTTTCGTCATGAACTTGAAAAAAGTGTGTCTATCCGCTGTTTTCAGGCAGTCATCATACGCCCAGTTCAGCTCAAATTGTCCATTCGCGTCCTGCTTGAGCACTGGTGGATATGATAAGTTTATAAGCGTTTCAACCCTCGAATGATTGAACAAAATACACAACTCATCAAATCAACGTGCTAGGGTGCTACTTTCTAGTCGGGAAAGTGGGGCAGTGATGCATAATTTACCTCATGATCAGCTTGGTATGGTTCCCAACCGAGGGTCTCCATGTACTCAAGCAACTCACTTATCACCGTATAGTGTCGCATAAGTGCACCCTGGGGAGATTCATGAAAGGGTATCAGTTTCAGCATGCTTTCCAACAGTTCACCAAATTTTTCCGAAGATGAATTGTCACACTCGTACCTGCTCATAGCATGGCTTGTCAGCATCGTCTTTGCTGTCGGCAATCTCAATCTCCGAACTTTTCTTTAGAAGGAAAAACTCACACTCAACACCAGTCTTCATGTGGTATCCGGGTCCCATCTCAGCAGCTCTAGCGATCTGTTCCTCTCAACCAAGCAGAAAAGTAATTACACTTAGTACTGTTTTCATTCACAGAAAGGGAATTAGATCGCAACATGAACTAGATACTTCTAGGGCAGCCTCTATACCGTCGATGCCACATTCAATCACACAGAGTACACTCCATTCTACTGCACTGATGCATGAAGTTTGCAGCTCATAACCACAATCGAGAGCAATCTATTGTTTCATACCTGGTTTTTCAAGACCTCGCGAGGTGATTGCTGCACAGGAGTATCATTCATGTAAAGATCACTTGCGACCCAAGCTACTTTGTCATTCCATGGAAGCTTGATAACGCTACTAGGATCTGGTTTTGCCATCTGAAATTCAGCAGCACCATCATATAAGCAAGCCTGCCTGAACAATACCGTGAGAGGTGCGCGGATCAAATCCTGCAGAGATAATGGTTATGTAAACCAGTGCTTTATTTTGGTTAAGAGATCATACCATATCAGGATCAGCAGCTGTCATGTTGAAGTGAGCAGCAAAGCCAGCAAATCCTGCTCCAACTCTTTGCATAGTCCCAATGTGTGCACTTGGAACTAGCTTCGACCGCACGACTCCCAATAGATCCACATAACTCACCTGCCAAACACCTTTATCCATTCAGATTCGAAAAGTGGGGAAGAAACACCAATTGGACTCATTTAATTAACTAGCTAGCTCAGTTTCTAAATCTATGCAACCTCTCCATTACAAAGGACCAATCTTTCAACATTCTTAGCTCCGCCTGGTCGAACACTAGAAAACGTGTCTGTACAAACCGCGAGCTTAACATCCTACACTGAAACCGCAATTAAATCGTCAAGGAAGACGATCACTGCCAACGGAGGCACTGAAAGCACCACATGATGTGAATTTACAACTCATTACTTCACAATGCACGAAAACATCTTCTCACTTTCTCAGCAGATTGCAAAATGAGAGAACGCAGCTTACAAGAAAGAATTTAACGCCATGCTCAGCTGCGTACGTCTCCAACTCCCCCGTCACCATGGTGGACAGTCACCCGAGCTCAGATGCAAATTACACGACCTTCGACAGAAATCGAATTCTCTGGACTATGAGGCCTCTCCGTCCAGCAAAATACTCATCCGCGACAACGATCTCCGCAAGATAACCCCTGCACAGAATGGCTCTTCATGAAGGCTTCGTGAGGTCTTAGTCAGTGCGGATCGGAGACAGAGGCCTGAGGATTCAAGCTTTGTTCCAATTCTCCAGGGACACGATTCCTTAGAATCGCGCCAAATCCTTCGGCACCGGGGACTGTTGATTCGCCGAGGGAATCATGCAATCATTCCTCGTGGCATCAACTTCGAGTTTTATGGCGTATTTTTAGGGTGTTTTAAGGGTAATTTTAGGATTTCTGGTACCTCCCACTCGCAATTTCTGACAACTAATAATAGAATCTGAATTAAGTAGTGGTTTATTTTTTTTGTCCATTTTGTGTGTGATTGGACACTAGAATATGCCCACATGAATCTTCTGACATGATAGATGTAATGAACAGAATAGAGATGAGTGATCGAATTATAATTCTTGTCATTCGATAAGAAAAGTGTGTCTTGTGTGGTTAGACTTAACATGGTGTGTACATTTGTCATTCGATGGGAAAAGTGTGAGTCTTTTGTGGTTAGGCTCAACACTGTGTGAACATTTGTCTTCTTTTTATTTGCTTTGAATGGTTGTGAAACTCATTGGTGAGTTGAGATGTGCCAGTAAAGGAATTCTAATTGGAGATGGTCGTTGTATTTGAAAGTAAAGTTTGAGAATCTAATAGATTCAACATCAACATTATGACTTTGCACAAAAGTCTATTAATGTGTAAATAATGATACCATGGTGTAATTGTCATTTCTTCACTTAACCACATCACATAATCTTTCAAAGATTTTTGCAACATCAAAATGCACTAAAATATACAAAAGAAAAAGAAAAAAGAAAAAAAAGAAAAAAGAATAAGTTGAATTTGTAACATTTTTAATAATGAAAACAAACAATTAAACAAAATAATAAAACTTAAATCCTTTTTCCAATTGGACTTTGATAAAATTTTAGACATTGAAAACCACATAATATGATCAAAGCCAAATTTATTCAATAGTATCAAAAAAAGAAATATAAATTTCAAAACCTATTAGAAACACCATGCTCATATTGATTGAATATAATGAATGTATGTATGTATATATATATATATATATATATACATATACACATACATATACATATACACATACATATACATATATATACATATTTGAAAATAATTTAAAATAAAATAATATATATATATATATATATATATATATTATTTTATTTTAATTTACTTTCACATCACTTGAGTTAAACACAAAAAAATATATTATAAATATAGCAATGTAACTACTTCATATAGCTTGCAAAAACTATTGCATTAAAATTCAAAATTGGACAAGCAAATTTTTTTTTAAAAAATGAGCATTATAAATTTCTTAAAAAATTAAAAGATTATAGTTTATAAGGTGATTTTTTTACTATAGAATAGGTATTATCTTTTACTTAATAAATAAATTAAAATATTATGTATTTATAAAAATAAATTTTAAACTTTAAATATTAAAAATAAACAAATATTTAATCTCAAACAAAAAATTATGAATATTTTTGAATTATTTCAAAAATAATTAAAATATGATTTTTTATAATAATCTAATGCTTCTAAATTTAAAAAATAATTAAAATATGATTTTCCAATAATCTAAATAATACTAATCTTTTAAATTTAGAAGCAAAACCAATATAGATATTGATTATAATTAATTGACTTATTTATCTCTACCATTAAATAAGCCATTAATTTTAGAAGCATGATTTAAATCTTAACTATTTTTGGTATAAGCATATAAATATTAGTTATAATATAACTAATTAATATTAAATTATTATAATATATACAAGATATAAACATATTTTTATAGAATTTTGTAGCAAAATAAAGAAGTATATAATATCATTAATTTATGTCAAGGACATGAATCTCAAAAAAAAAAAATATTCAATACACTCTTGTGTTACTAAAAAGAACTAAAAAGTCACTCAAAGATGGTACAATATTAAACTAAAATGACTATTATAAAAAATAAGAAAAATAGAAAGACTTGAAACAAGACTAAGGACTAAAAAAGTATTGATAAGAATGAAGAAGACTTCACTATTGCTTCTATATATACTCTTAACTAGGAGCTACATGGTGATATCTCATAAGACCTTCAAAACATGTTGACTTTATAAGACACATATCTTAACTTGTAAGGCAAGTTTTTTATTTGTGCGCTACATAGTCAGCTTGTTTTACAAGCTACCAATACATGGTTAATTTGTTGATTAAGTTTCTAACCTACCAATCAACTACAAATACATGTAAAGTCAAAGCAGTGTATAAAGCTTCTAAGAAGCTTTTCTAGAGGTTTTATGAAATTAACCTACTTTTATTTATTTTTACTTATTTCTATCTAATCATATAAATATTTACTAGAGTACGTATGTAAATCTGTGACATTACTTTCCCTTCTAGGAACAAGTTCCACAAGGAGTAATCATCATGTGTTGATGAAATCCAAGTTGCGACAAATTATATTTGCCACATATTCTAATCTTTGTTTTCTTTGAAGATGATTGATAGGTCCTCTCAGCCATCAATAGTATTTCATACCAAAGTAAGAAGACCACTCTATTATTTGATCGTTGTTGAGGCCTTTGTAACTTCCTTCAAATAAAATATTTAGAACATTGTCAAGAATTGTTTCTACTTTTAATAAAATTACCAAATATTGGAAGTTTCTTCGAAAGTTGTGAAGCAAATACATTATATCTCGCCATCTATTTGAGGAAAGATATGACGTTCTTAAAGATCTTCATCTCAATGATGTTATCTTAAAGGTTGTAAAATTTATAATATCTCATTTGATAAGTTAGTAAATGAAAGCTCTTGAGTTGAATCTATTGGTTGTTGGTTCTTCATCTTTTTAACATCACAAATATACTGAAACTACAAAAAAAAATAGAAGGTAGAGTATTATCTTCCTTTGATCTTGTTTCTTTTATAGTACATATTTGCTATTTTTTATCTTCATTTTAATAAATGTCGTTGATAAAAAGCTTTAATTCTTTTTGCTGCATTTATAAGATTCTTTGTTGGCTTCTATGTGCATATACTAATATCATATCTATGCCAATAAACAAGATGTTCCAACCTATTTTGGCATTGCCTTGAATCTGAGACTTCTTCTATCTCGAACTCTTCATTATTAATTATTTTTATAAGAATTCATGGCAATTGTCTTTTTTTTGAGATATTCATTGTCTTATATGATTCAAGAAGAGACATGTGAAATATAAAGGGAATCTTCATAGACTCTAGTAGATATAATTGATAAGCAATAAAATTGACTTGTTCACTAATAGAAAAAGATCTGAGCATACAATAGTCAGCTTATCATAAAAATAACTAGTCTTAATATCTTATCATCAACGTAGAATTATGGTTATTTCTTGTGATAAGGACTTACATTAATCTTTTGTTATTCTTGAGCTCTCTTTAATTTTACCTTCATTGTTGCCTATAGCTCTAATAAATGATTTAACAAATCTTTTGCTGTAAGATTATTAACTTTTGAAAAGTCAAAAATATCAAGTCATGGATAGAAGAATGTATTATATTATTATATGTAAACTTTGCCAATGGTAAAACAATTATCCAATCAACTTGATGATAATTGATGATATACGTCAAATATTCTTCCAAAAGTTTATTCACCTATTTTATTTATCCATCATTTTGAGGATGAAAAGCCAAATAGATCTTTATATCCACCTTTAAAATCTTGAAAAAGATTCTCTAAAATCTTAATATAAGTTGAGTCTTCCTATCTAATATAACATCTTTAAGTAATCCGTGATAACAATAGATGTTGTTGAAAAAAAGTTTAGCTATTTCTTTATATGTGATAGATTTTATATATGGTAAAAAATATTCTATTTTGATAAAATGATCTACTTCTAAGAATATAAAATCATATGAACGTGAGATTGGAAGATCCGTAATAAAATCTATAGAAATGAAAGACCATGGTTGACTGAAGAAATCCATTAGATCAATGGTGAGGAATTTTAGATCTTGAAAAAATATCACATAATTGTACAAAGTCTTTGACTGCCTTCTACATTTGAGGCCACTAAAAATCTCTTGATATTAGCTCTAAAGTCTTATTATATCCAAAATGTCTGGTTGCTGGAAAGTCATGAAGAGTTTGAAGAATACATAATTATGCTCTATTTTTTAGAATGTACAATCATCCTTCAAAATAGAGTAAGATGTTCTTCAACTTGAATTTGGAAGTATTGTAAGACTTAATAGAATTATTCTTGATATCATGGATAAGAGGATGAGAGGACATACTTTATTGAATTTTCTTGACAAAGGTTGAATCAACAGTTAATGTTGATTTTATTACTCAAAGGTAAAAATGCTTTGGCTTCAAAAAAAATATTCTTAGTTCATTAAAAGAGGCATCTCCATCCTTTGGTGCAAGGAAAGAATGTCTAAAAAAGACATTCAATAAATCTTGTTGTTTTTTGAATCAATAAGTGTTCTTGAAATCAAATCTTGATAAAGATATATTCCAATGAGCTTGGCAATGATTCAAAACATGTGTTAATATGAAATACTTAAGCTTCTCGTAATCTATATACACAATGACTAGACTCGAGGTGCCTTGTAAATAATGATGCCATTCTTGAAATGAATCCATGATTGCAAGGAGCTCGTTATTATAGATCTCATAATTAATCTTAGCTACTAAAATTTTTTTAAAATGAAAAGCTATTGAATGAAGTTTGTCATCTACTCCTATTTGTGATAATATTACAACTAAGGCAAAGTCTAATGCATCTATTTCTATAAAAAAATGTCTTAAAAAAGTCAACATGATAAAAAAATTGGTGCAAAAATAAACTCCTTTTTAAAGCATCAAATGATGTTTTGACTTCTTTACTCCACTCAAGTCTGTCTTTATAAGTTGAATGTGTAAGTGGAGCTGCAATTTGAAAAAAAAAATCTTAATAAAGATCCAATAGTAATTTGCAAAGTCCAAAAAGTATTATTTGTCTTTTATTGTTCTTAAAATCTTTCAATCTATGATAGTTTGGACCTTCTTTGAATCCATGATTAGCTCTTCTTTGAAAATAATATATCTCAAAAAGTCAACTTGAATAATGTAGAATACTCACTTTTTTAATTTGGCATA